ACTCGAGAATCGTTTTATAAAACTCGAAGAATCGTTTTATAAAACTCGAGAATCGTTTTATAAAACTCGAGAATCGTTTTATAAAACTCGAGAATCGTTTTATAAAACTCGAGAATCGTTTTATAAAACTCGAAGAATCGTTTTATAAAACTCGAGAATCGTTTTATAAAACTCGAAGAATCGTTTTATAAAACTCGAGGATCGTTTAATAATACTCGAGAATTGTTTTATACAACTCGAGAATCGTTTCATAAAACTCTGGAATCGTTTTATAAAACTCGAAGAATCGTTTTATAAAACGAATCGTTTTATAAAACTCGAAGAATCGTTTTATCGCGTTTTATAAAACTCGGGAGCAAATTCTTCCCGCTACATTCATACGAATAAAAGCACGCTTTTAAAAACGCAAACTGATAACTAGACCGTAAAGGTCTTGCCGGGAAAAAGGTCTTACGAACCTTAGCTCCGAAACGAACTACGTAAGGCTTGATCCCCTCAAAAGGGTACGTAGGCAGCCTTCACAAGGCGCAGCCCTGATCTTAAACGCTTTCCGCTCCCTGGAGAGTGGAAAGATCACTTTCAACGGACCTTTCCGACTATTAATTCCGCCTAACTTAACTAAAACTGGTTAACCACTCGCAAGAACCTTACGCTAAAGGCTCACGATTCTTACGAGCTGGGGGGCTAACTGTTGGGGTCAAAATCGGTACGACGGAATAAATAGCCAAAATTCCCCGCAAACGCGTAAACGCAACAATTTTATGAATCTCGAGGATCATTTTATAAAACTAGAAGATCGTTTTATAAAACTCGAGAGATCGTTTTATAAAACTCGAGAGATCGTTTTATAAGAACTCGAAGATCGTTTTATAAAACTCGAGAGATCGTTTTATAAGAACCCGAAGATCGTTTTATAAAACTCGAGAGATCGTTTTATAAAAACTCGAAGATCGTTTTATAAAACTCGAGAGATCGTTTTATAAAACTCGAGAGATCGTTTTATAAAACTCGAGAGATCGTTTTATAAAACTCGAGAGATCGTTTTATAAAAACTTGAAGATCGTTTTATAAAACTCGAAGATCGTTTTATAAAACTCGAGAGATCATTTTATAAAAACTCGAAGATCGTTTTATAAAATTCGAAAGATCGTTTTATAAAACTCGAGAACTCGTTTTGCAAAACCGCGAAAAACCGAAACCGCCGCAGAACGCGAACTAGTCACGACTAGTTCGCCTGCTGGCGAACTAAGCCAG